TTAGGCTTGATCACATTTTCAAGACATCTGTCACAGTTTTTCACTATACGAACCTCCCAGCCAGCAAATAACACAATTATAAATTAAATTCTCTGGTTGAAATCACAATACTGTTGCCATGATGAGTTCATACCATGGTTAATTGATCTGACGTTATTGCTCTCAGTGGTGTTTTTATGGTTACTCCATATGTTGCTTTACAGTGATGTGGAAGAGATTTCTGGGACGAGGTGACCACTAGTCACCAGCCCTGTTTTCAGCTTTATGAGTCACTTATGTGAGGGAACAAAGACCACGGAAATAAAAAAAGAACACACAAACAACACCCTTTGTTGAGGCAATTTAAGTTTATTTTTACATAAATATTTTTTCAGGACTTACTATAAGAGAATTTCCCATAAAAACTCTATACTTGCTATTGAATCACATACATGTACTGAGCTTAGCTTGTGCAGCCTTGGGATAAGTAACAAACATTCAGGTATATTAAACAATTTTTTGTAACTAGAACTGAAAAAAGATGAATTAAAATTAAGTGCCACTGGATGTATATGAAAAATAGTGTTAGAAAAAAGTGCTCAGTCTGCACGATCTGCGTGGTCTGCAGTCTGCAGTCGACATGGTCTGCATTAATTTCGCGTGGCCGCATTCATCTTCAGTTAAAATTATAGGCAAATTTGAATACGTCAAGTATCTTTCTTGAATGGACTCAGATCTCAAGCAAACACCACAACTGTGGTTATTGTATTTATTTATTTTTTGACAATATTTAGTTAGGGATGCCCAGTTCAGCAATGCTTGTTTGACTGGGGCCGTGGGTCACTTATTATTAGTGCAGCCTCTGTTGCTAAGAATTTGCCAGTAAGGAAAATAAAATTATGATCATGTGTGATCATTTTGCTTTTGTTTGACAAAACCGAACATTGGTGGCTGAACAAATAATTCTTTTTTTTTTTTAATATATATATGCAAGCCTGGAAAAATGCACAGAGCTTATTTTTATTATGGTAATTGCA